AGAAGAACAGTTAGCTATTTACAAAAGAGCTTCCATAAGACTTCCAGCTGATTTCTCAACAGAAACTTTGCAGGCACAAACCATTTAAAGTGATGACGTTGGAGCAAGGAGCTACAACCAGATCACTCTACCTGGCAAAGCTCTCATTTAGAATTGAAGGTCAGATAAAGAACTTTGCGGATAAGAAAAAGTGAAAGGAGTTCATCACCACCAACACAGTACTACATGAAATGTTGAAGGGTATTCTTTAAGAGGAGGAAGAAGAAAAAGAGATAACAAATATGAACAACAAAATGGCAACAAATACATACCTATCAACAATTGAATCTGAAAATCAAAATAAATGAATGAGAAATCTAATGAACAAAATAAACAGGAGAATAAAATAGAATCAGAGGAATGGAAATGGAACAGACTGATGATTGTCAGAGGGGAGATGGATGGGGGGGCCGTGGTAAAAGATTAAACAAAGATATCATATGTATACTAGAGGCCTCATGCCCAAAAATTGTGCACTGGGGGGGAGGGGGTGTCCCCCAGCCCAGCCTGCACTCTCTTGCAGTCCAGGAGCCCTTGGGGGGATGTCTAACTGATGGCTTAGGCCCACTCCAGGAACTGGCAGTCAGACATCCTTAGTGCTGCACCAGTGAGCCCAGCTTCTGGCTGAGCGGCACTCCCTCTGTGGGAGTGCAGGGGCAGCTCCTGCATTGAGTGCCTGCCACCTGGTGATCAGTGTGTGTCATAGCGACCGGTCATTCTGCTGTTCAGTCGATTTGCATATTAGCCTTTTATTATATAGGATATACCAGCCGTGGGCAAACTACGGCCCACGGGCCGGATCCGGCCCATTTGGCTGTTCTATCCAGCCCACAGAGCCGAAAGAGAGGAGGGTCCTCTTGCTCTCCCTTCCTCTCCTTCACCAGCAGCAGTGTTAACATGTATTAGTTCACACAAACACTCCATCCATGCTTTTGTTACAGCCCTCAGGTCCAGTTTAAGAACCCATTGTGGCCCTCGAGTCAAAAAGTTTGCCCACCCCTGGGATATACATTACCTATGGACATGAAAAGAGGGCCTGGGGTGGGATGGGAACTGGATAGAGGGGGGTCAATGAGGGGGAAAAAGAGGAACATCTGCAATAATCTCAACAATAAAGATTAACGCCCCCCCCACTAAAATAAACAAACAAATAAATAAAATGTATCCCAATGCAGAGCACTGCTCTACCAATAGCTGTGAGTTTTTCTTTGGCTCAGGTATTAACATGTAGATCTTCCAGGAAGCTGAGTTCTCAGGGAAACTTTCTAGTGATCATAAGAAAACGTTTGTATGCACATTACTAAAAACGGACAGAAACATCTTGGCTGGTGAGGTGGTTTGGGACTCCAGATTTTGAGAGTCAGATGTAATTCTTCTTAGTTTAGGGAGATGGCTCTGTGGCTTAAGCCCACACATATGCTGGTGAGCATTACTGTATGGGTGGGTGTACACCCTGGAGAGCACATGTTTTCAGCCTGCTGGTGGGAAGAAGGGTTTTCCCTGATTGATGAATCATCTCAGAGGAGACAGTGAGTGAATGGATTCATTGATCATACCTCGACTTGTTTTCTACTGCTCATCTCTGGAACACTGCTTCCTGGGGCTGGAAGTAGTAAAATGAGGAGGGTAATACATACAAATCTGTGAACTTTTCTATATTTTAAATCAATAGTATCTCAGTCTGCTAAAACTGCTGGGTTCCCCCTCGTCATTGATTAGATTTCTTTTATTCTGAATTGAGGATGAATTGTGGTTGTCTTGATGACAGACACCCATCTCACACACAGATGCAGAGATGTGTGTCATAATGAGGTCGTTGACAGGCCAGAGAGAAACATAGCCTCTTCCACTCAGTTTGGGTTGATCCTTAACAAAGTTTCTTGGAACAATCAGCCCAGCAAGGCTTTAGCTCCTGAAAACTTCTGGGCCCACAGCAGTGGGTAAGTGGGTAAGAACTCAACTGTGATAGTTTGTTCTCTGCTCCTTGGTTCCATTCTTAGCTCAAATCCTGCCATTTTTTTTTTTTTTTTTTTTTTTTTACAGGCCATAGTGTATGAAGGCCAAGACAAGAACCCAGAAATGTGCCGAGTCTTGCTTACACACGAGATCATGTGCAGGTAAGAAATACCTTGTTCTCTCCCTTTAATCAGCAAAGAGAAGATGAATTTGTATCTCCAATCTAGGTGAACTCAGGTTTATTTTGGGGTACGCGTTTAATCTTGCTTCTATTAGACAATGTAAAAAGAACCCATGAACCTGAGTATTTGGCACTAAATTGTCAGGCATCAGAATGGTTCTCAATTATTTATCAGAGTCCATCCTGTAAGACATACATTTCCATGTTGATATCTGCACTGTTAATGGGCACAAAGCAGTACCCTCCCCTTCTTCCTTTCAATCAAATAAAATACAATGTAACCCTTTTAGTGTTAATATATGCATTCAACCACATTGCTAGTAAAATGAGTAAGCGTTCTATTGATGTCAGCAGAAGCCTCCATTGATAAGACTTAAGGTATAGTTCCCCCTTTTAATTCTTCCACTTAAAAATAGAACGTCCGTACATAGGCAGCATTCCTCCTTAAACGGAGTGTGGATTTTCTTTCGTCCCCTTCCCCTCCTCCCCGCTTTGACTCTGATCACTTAATCTTAGTAACCCAGTTTGTAACTATGACAGTGTAGCTAATATTTCTGAGGGCTGGTGAGCTTTTGGAAGGATAGCAAAGCGGAGTCCCTGTCACATGCAAATGAGATCTTTATTTTTGCCTGGTATCTGACTGAGGCTACATTTGAAAACAGGCCCCTGGACCACATTCAGTTCCCTGGTCTCAGCCAGTCCTCCACATGTGGGAAAGCAGACCAGAGAATGAACACTTTTTAAATTGCAGTTTAGGATTCTTATTCTTCATAAAGTAACAGTGGTACTTGGCTCCCAGTATATTCTGAGTAATTGGATGAAGCATGAAGGTGCCACTATGCATCACAGAAAGGCTACTAATTGCTTTGTTAGCCATCAGGCGGGGCTCAAGCAGGCTTGGCCCCTGACTATTACTGACCAATCCTGTTAGGGCTTCAGCATGGGTGGGCTTTATTTGCTGCTCATGGACTTGTAGTGAACTCAGTCTTAAAGCTCTATTGGAAATAAATTAGAAAGGGCTTAATGTATAAGCATGTTTACTTACTGAAATCTTAAATATTAACTTCTTTATGTAGAATTATGTATGTGTCTGGAAAATTTCCTTTTTTCTTTTCCTTTAAAAAACATACTTCTAATATATTATTATAAAATATATAGGAGTTTCACAAGTTTTTGCTTCAGTGATTTGTAAAACTTGTTAATTATTCCAAAAACAGGTTGCTTTTCTCTAACTTTAAAGCAGTAGCAAAATCCAAAAATGTGGTCTTAGATTTCTCAGAAGATATTATTAGGCAAAAATCAGCATTATACTGCATACAATAATTGCGTGATTAAAGCTGAGTTGCACTTTACAGAATTAAATGAGTAAAATCATTTTGAAAAGCCTTAAAAAATGACCTCCTTTGTATTACTATTTTTCAGACTGTATTTTAGCTTCCCACAATTAGCATGCTATTAGAATGAATTTTCAATGTTCTATTACCTGTGATTCTAGCAAAATAGGAGACAGACAGGAAGATGGATCTCAACCAATAGGCCACCTAATATCTATATATCATAGATTTGCATCTCAGATCTGCACATGTTTGGACTCTGCTAGAAATAATTCTGTTCTTGAAATACTTAGAGATATATTATGCCTTTCACACACAAGCCTACCCTCTATTAATGCAGTTTATATTTTTCTTGTTCTTAAAATTCATTGGTCCAAAGTATTTTATTATGCTGGTTGCTGTGCTTTACTGCTGGTGTTCTTTCTATTTTTCAGAGACATAAAAATAGCAAAAATAAAATTCTCAAGCCACTGAAGGCAAATGATGATGTTTGTACTGCATGGCTGAGAGGGAAAAGCCATATTCAAAATGCCATCCTGTTAATGTTACAGATTACGGTTTTTCTGGCTGCCTATAGATGTGTAAGGGGGACTGTTTGTTTACCAGGCCGCCATGACCCTATTACACAAACCTGTCATCTATTGTGTGGCTAACCGTCTTTTAAATTGCAAATCAGATGCTCTTTAGGGGGCTTTAGGAAAAAAAAAAACACCTCACTTTCCACACCATCCTATTTCTCTTGATTTCTTGCCTGTTGTAAGTGGAAGTTGGGATGTGCTGAATTTGCACCAGGGGTGCAAATGCAGGCTCAATTATAAGCATAAAATTAGAGTCTGTTCACCATTAATCAGCCTGGCTAATTGCTATGCACCACCATTAGCCATATGGTGTGAAAGACAGCTTGCTCTCCCCAAGATGAAATTTCTCCATTGCAGACATGAAATAGTGAGGGCCCTGGATTCTAAAATAGCATGTTTTAGATATTTAATTTCTAAACAACTTTCTCTGTGCTTTCTATCAAGGCTAACGGCACAATAAAACTTTGCGTTTATGTCACAAAAACTGTATATTTATAGCACCTTGGAGCGATAGTAAAGGAGACAGAGAATTTACATCGACAGGAAAGGGTTTGGGATGGTTCTGTTTTGTTGCGGAAAAGGGGGGAAAGAAAAAAAATGAAAGAAAGAAAAGAAATGAGATAAGAGAAAAGAAGGAAGTTGTGTCTCAGGTGGCTGCAAATTTAAGAAATCCATTTTGTTCTGTTGTGAGGATAACTCCGTGGCACGAGCTGACTAAAGGACTTGCCGCCATTGGATTACAATTATTGCTACTCTTTGAGACAAAACCTTTTTGACTTGGTGGCATAGAGTAGCGGCATAGAGCTCTTTCTGGAATTCTGGGAGAGTTTCTACATTTTTGGTAAATTAGAATCTATCGTTACATTTTGCTAATACCTGGTGGTTAAGGCCTTAAAATAATGTGGTCCCATGAAGGATTAAAAAAAAAAAAAGAAGTTGGAATCCATGAGATTTGATTTTAAGTGCATCTCAGCATCCTGTATTTAAATGTGAATGGAAAACAGGAACTATACTTGGTAGTTGCACCAGCTCCCAGCCTCCCAGGAAGGCTGAAGCAGGCTTTCTCTCCTTCCAGGTTTCCCAGGCTGGGCGCTCTCTTGAGGTGAGCGATCTTTTTCCATGATCAGTGCCTGGCTTCTTGTGGGGCCATGGCTTAGTTCTCAGGGTCAGCCTCTCCCTTGATCAGGCCTCTCTTCCTTTCTCTTTTGCTGGTTTCTTCTGATTTTTCCTTCAGATCCCCACGTCAGCGTGACTTCTTCAGGAAAGCCTCCCTAGCCCTTGTCCTATCCCCTTCGTAGGCATTCCTATCCTATCCTGTGCTTTTCCCTCAAAGCACTCAGAGCATTACAACTGTGGGTCCACGGCCTGTCTTCCTTGCTGGACTAAGGACTTAAAGGCAGGGAAATTACTCAGTTTTCCTCTGTGCCTCAGTTGTTCCACGTGTGAAATGGGTGAAAAATATTATCTCATAGGTAGTTGTTAAGGTTAAATGCTATAACCTATAAATGCTTATCCTGGTGCCTGCCATATAGAAAGTACTGAATGCCTATTGTTAGTATTTATAGCAGTGGCAGTAGTCTTAGTATTAATATTAATAGAAGCAGAAGTAGTAGTCGAAGCCGTAGCAGCAATATCCAGTGTCTAGCTCGGTATCTGGCACATAGTTGTTCAGAGTGAAAGATTGATGAGAACTTTGAAAGGAAGTGAAGTGTTCACAAAAGGCACCAGTGGGGTCCTCGGCCTGGCCTGCGGATCTGGCCCCAACCGGCTCTCCGACATCCCCCGAGGGGTCCCGGATTGCGAGAGGGCTCAGGCCAGGCTGATGGACACCACCTGTGTACAATTGGGGCCTGGGAGGGAGGCAGGAGGTTGGGTCGCTGTGGAGGGACCACAGGAGGGCTCCCCAGCAGCAAGCTCACCTACTGGTTGGAGCGTTTTCCCCCTGGTGGTCAGTGCATGTCATAACGAGTGGTTGAGTGGTCTTGGCATATCATTAGCATATCATACTTTGATTGGTTGAATGGACAACTGGATGACCGGACACTTAGCATATTAGATTTTTATTATATAGGATATATATGTGTGTGGTCCCTACACACACACACACACACACACGCACATATATATATATATATCCTCCATTCTTCCCCACTCTTATTTCATAATGTACTTTGTTCATTCTCGGTGTGGTGGTTAAGGATGTTTTCATTCATTCTTTTAGCCCCTACTATCTGCAAAGCACTGTGGAATGCTGAGCCCCAAAGGACTGAGTCCTGTAGTAGGAGAGCTGACAGATTAGATGAGACTTGTGGGCAGAGAACCAGACTGCCCTGTAGAAAGAGTTGACTGTGATCAGAGCTGAGACAAAGGATTGTGGCTATTCAGAGAAGACAGGACATACTTGTAGGCAGATAGTAGCCTCAGAAATGGGGAGGAGGGTGAGATAGGACAAGGATGTTAGAGGATGCATGAAGAAGTGTTTGGACCCATTTGTTGGGGTCCAGGTAGGATTTCTCTTTGGAGAGGTCTAAAGGTGGGTGGTCCTATGGCCTGGAGCTGGGAAGAGAGTCAGGGTGAAAGACAACCCACTTCAGAAGTCTCTTCCCAACGGTGAGAGTTGAAGCTATGGGCTTATAAGGGGTTGACAAGGTGGGAGAAAAGAGAGAGAAGGGTCCTTGGATACAATCTTGGGGAACAATCACACAGTAGCAGGAGGGAGGGTGTGCTCAAGAATTAGGGAAAAGAACCTTGAGCATTCAGAGCTTAAAAATAAAAGGAGGGTGTTTCAAAGACATGGGCCATCCATGTAAGTGCTAGGGAGGCTCCACATGGATATGAAGATGGAGAAAATCAGCAAAAAGGTCACTGGTGAACCAAGCCAGTTTTTATGGGGTCAAGGTGGCAAGAACTTATGGAGACTCTGGCAAGGAGAGAGTTGGACAGCAAAGAAACTAACTCAAGAAACAAGATGGAGCAAGTCTTTTTTGTTGTTGTTGTTGTTAAGAGAATGGGAAAACTTGACAATGTATGTAAACTGAGGGAAAGAATGAATTTATCCTCACAACCAT